ACTATTCAACATACTGAAAGCTGCTGGGCTATCACACCATTAGACTGGAACAAACTGACAAATCAATTTCATCAAGGAGATGACTTTTTTGGGAGAGGGGGGAAGAGAGAGGCAGATCCGCCACTCAACAAATCCCTGCATTTCTCACACAGGTGGTTGGACAAAAGCTGACTGCACCATCAAAGACATTTTATATCTACCAAATGCCTTTGTACAAAACTAACTCCCACAATTTCCTTAGGGGCAGCTCTAAATGTTTTTTAAACAAGTCTTTTTCACATTCTCATACTAAGCTATTGAAAACTGAAAATACTTTTAAATTCCCCAGTTTCCTGCTTTGTATGAAAGGGTACACTTTTAATTAAACCACAGCCAGCAACATTCTAAATAAATAATCATTAATGATTTCAAGAAAGACAGGGAAATACAGCATATAAATAATGCATTGATTTCTATTTGAGAGAGGTGTACAATGCTTACTTACAGTTAAAAGTTGTTTTAACCAAACAGTTTTAAAATAAATAATTATTTGGTCCCTAATAGCAGAAGAAAAAAAAAAAAAGTGGAAAAAAGACACTGAAAGTAATTTCATGTCCTACTGACAACAGATTTCTGGCTGATTCTTCCCATTTACTCAAAGCAAAATGCAGGTAGCCAAAGCCAAACATTTTTTTCTAAAATTAGGTCTTTTAAAGTTAAAATTAGTCTACTGCATGAAGAAAACCTGACAAAACACAGAAGTGACACACTTAGTATTTCAACACAGCTTGACATTTTGAAGCTTCATGCTACACTTCCAGGAAACCTTTGGAATCACAAGAACTGCTCACTCATATTACAAACTCTACACAACAAATTATTTGAGGAGCTTTCCTTCCTAATTTTCCAGAGAATGAAACATTGAACTAGCCATTGAATTAGAGTTAGGATTTCAGAACAGTTAAGGGTTGATGTAAATGTCTTCATTTAAATATTGCCAAAATGACCACCAAAACAGTAAACTAAAGCATGCTTTCTCTCTCTTTTTCCCCCCAGGAGCCTCACATATCTTACATCAAGTTGTTAAAGCTCTGCTGAGGGGCAGGAGGGCTCTGCAGAGGGATCTGGACGGGCTGGATCCATGGGCCAAGGCTGGTTGTATGAGGTTCAATGAGACCAAGTGCCGTGTCCTGCACCTGGCTCCCAACAACCGCTTGCAGGCACTACAGGCTGGGGACAGAATGGCTGGAAAGCTTCACAATAAAAAAGGACCTGGAATTAAAATTTCTTCACCAAAACGGTTTGCCAAACAATGGAACAGACTGCCCAAGGAAGTGAGATACCATCCCTGGAGGAAGGATATGCAGATGTGACGCTAGGGGACATGGTTTAGTGGTGGATGTGGCAGTGATGGGTTAACAGTTGAACTCCACAGTCTTCAAGGTCTTTTCCAATCCTAACAAATCTGTGATTCCAAGATACATAGCTTTATTTGTAAATCAGCTTCAAAACGTTTAGAAACTTTGTATAATTCTTTCAGGTTGAGAGTAACGATTTTTGGAGGATTTCTGCTCTCTGCATTTGAACCAAGTTAACTGTGAGCAATGAATGTTTTTCTCAAGAACTGTCTTTAAAAAAAAAAATCACATAGGAATTCCACACACTTTAAAATGCTCAGCAAGAGATCCTGTGAGATTAAAAGCTCAATCAGAAGAGACTGAATCAAATTACAATTATAGAATTAAAAGATTTTTATTCCTAATGCTTCTTATCTCTGTAAAACTCCTATCTTTGTAAAATTTCATGGACTGAAGAAGTACTCTTATCTGTTGCAGAAACTACACCCTTTCATAAGGAATACTGGGTTCCAAAGAATTACAGTCACAATGATGAACTGATCAACTCAGAGTTTTTCCCTGTTTATAAAAACCTGGAGTTACAGGATTAAGGAATCACTGAAAAAATACATCTCAAACTATTTAATATTTCAAAAGAAAACACTGGGATAAGATCAGAATTGAACAGGGAATGCACACAGGACAGGAAAAGCTGCCAGTGGTGTTACTGACCTGCCCAACAGCACAAACCTGGGGCTTTTATGTGGCCACCAGCTGTAGGATCTGTAGCTTTCATGTAGCTCTAAAAATTGGAACTTTTCAGTTGCAACCCCACACAACTGTCACTTGCCCCAATAATCTACCACCTAGAAAGACAATATGGACAAACTTTGGAAGATAGCTGTATCTTCCCTAGAGTACTATTTTACCCTTTTGCTTATTCCACAGAAACCGTTTTGCAGTTATCTTTGTAAGAAATAGGAACTCAACACAGATACTGGAATTCCACAGACAGAAGAAAATAAAAACAAAATTGAGGATGAACATGGGTAACTCTAGATCTAGGGAAGAAACCATTACTTTTGATCATTTGAAGACAAGAAAAGATATTTGTGTAACAGTTACCCAGGTATCTAGAAACCATGTGTTCCACTGATAAGGAATGAAAAGAGCCTGAAACCTATTTCAAGTGAAGCATCTCTTCACAGAACTATACTGCCAATACTTTCCATTCATTCCACCTTCCCAAGAACATTTAAAGCAATTTGAAACTCCTGTGTTGAACTTGAACTACTTTTAGCGCTCAAGTCTTATTTTAAAATTTATGATCATAAAAGTTCCTTATTAAAAAAAACAAACAAAACCAACCCACCTATTCACTCCTGCTAAACCCCAGACAAAAGCCCTCTGGGAGGCTCTGAGCCCAGCTTACATTTCCTAGTCACAGAATTATGCACAGGTGAGGCAGAAGCTACTTTACCCATTCACACCAAAGCCATCACACATGGGCGAGGCCTAAATCTGTATTTCTCAAACTGCCAAAGCCAGAGTATCAATGTAGTTCTATCCACACCTTTGTAACATAAAGGTCCACAGTAAAATCTTACTCTAGAATACATTCCAATGTGATTTGTAAATGCTGGCTTCTGCTGTATTGAATTAAAAATGTAGATTTTGATATTTTTTGATTAATAATTTTAATACTGTGCCCTTATCCTTCCACTTTCCAACCTGGGTCAGAGAAGCATTTTGTGAATAAGCTTTCTCTGATCCACCCTTTGGTTGTTATGTCTTTGGGAAAAAATAATATTACATTGGTAATACTTACTAAAGTGACATTGAAGGCACATATGTTTAGAGCAGTGTTAAAACACAAAGGTGCTGAGAAAAAGAATGACGACAGCAAATCCAGTATTTTAGAAAGGCCCTTGTGAATTTTGTTAACATTTGCTTCTCCCTTCATTCATTATGATGATAATATTAATCTGCCTCTAGTCTAGGTTGTGCTACTTGTTTGTTTTTGCAGTACTCTATTCTCTAGACTAAGCCACCTTTACTACTTCTCTCAGCATTCCATCTGCTCCCTACTAAAATTTTTTGATTACCTTCCCAGTCCTGATGAGGTGTTCTGATGCACAAACTACATTTCACATTTTTTTAATTCAGCTAGCTAAAAAGAGAAAAAAGAAACTATAAATAAGCATACATGATAGGTATTCTTAAAGCTTGATGATCACTGAAATGGAAGAGCCTTATGTTTATCAGGGAGAAAACTAGGAGTCAACAAAGAAAGACATATAGAAAAGAATTATTTGCCACAGTTGCTGCATTTCAAAAAGCAAATGCAAATGCAACTTCTATGCTTGAAAATACTTCATGATTGGGAATTCTCATCCAATGCAGCCAATTACAAAATAAACCCTTTTCAAGAATCTGAAACAGAAGTGGTTGGTCATTTATTTTTATGTTCCTTACTTTTTTAAAGCCATCCAAGTAAGAACCACTCTCACTGGTAACCTCCCTGACTTCTTACACAGCCATTCTGAGATGCACAAGAGTGCCACAGTCAAGTCAATGGCATATTAACTTTTAAACCTGGTAATTGTACAAATGTCAACATTAGATGGGATTTTCAAAGGTTCTTAGGCAATTAAGCAATCTTATGATTCTGAAAAGGCCCACTGAAAATGCAAGGCACTGTCAGCTGCTTTACTGCTTACCACCTGAACAGAAACATCCAGTCAATGCATCAATTCAGCAATTCCAAATCTCCTATCACAAAGCCAAACCTACCTAAATTCTGCCTTACAATTCTTTTATCCTAGATAGTAATATCGTTAACATCATTTATGAATTTATTCTAGCAATACTTCTGTGAGGTAGAGAAACACTGTTATTTCCATTTTACATGTCATGTCAATCCAGGCAGAGCAGGATATGAGAGCTGTATGTTAGCCTTCAATAACATAACAATACAATTGTAGCTGGAGAATAAAAAATATCTGAAACTTGCCCAGAACTTTAAAGTGTCATTTCAGCTTCTGTTCTTTTTAACAGCAAAATAAGCACCAACTGTGTTATTCACAGAGGAAGGAGCCTCTATTTTTAAATTTAAATGAAGCTATTGGAGTTTTTGACCTCCCACAACACAACACGCAGACCAAGGAAGCTTGCTTCAGAGCCGCTGCTTGTTGAACATTATGTGAAGCCTCACAAACAGCCATTGAAAAAAAAGTATTTACACACAAGAAAGACCCAGAAACAAGGTAATTGAGGGATACAAAACAAACCCTACTTTCTTACATCAAAGTAACAGCAAACTGTTCTAGCATTACAAATGTAAGATATCCACAAGTACAAATAAACAGTATAAATGTTAGAGGGACACTGTTTCACAGCACGCATGCACTAGCAGGAAAGCCTTATCCAAACAAACACTTTCTGCTGCCCTGTCAAAAAGATAACTTTTTGTCAGGCTAAGAAAGTCCAGCTTTAAAAACATGTTAATTCCAGAAGGAAAAAGTCCTCTCTTGACTTAGCTTCAATTAGTTTTGCTTGAAATAGTTAAGGCAGATATATATAATCTGGAAATTTGCATCAAAACAATCCTCTAAAAATCTTCTACAAATTCATTAAAATAAAGTAGGAAAAACTGAAAAGCATTGAACAAGTGGCTCTCCTTACCTTCAGCACAGCAATGAATGGTACAAAATTAGCCCTCTGAAGCCCATTTTTATAGAGATCTGAAAGAAAGAAAATCAGTACCATTTTGGTACTTAGTCTTATTAACATTGGCTTGTCTTCTAGTCTAGCAAATAAAACTCAGTGTTGCTAAAGACAGGAGGAACAAAAGGCAGTAAAGGAGAGCTAAAATCCATTTCTCTTCTTTCACTGTATGCAAATTCAATACAACATCAAGAAAGAAAGGAATATCCTGAGGAAGTGTGAAAGTGGCAGGGAGAAAAAAAATTACTTAGATCTCTAATGACATATAACTAATTCTAGCAGAAGAAATTACAACAGCATCTGTTTTAAAGTGAGGGTATAAAAATATTTGTAATGCTGGGTATACACTGGTATAGATTGTAAGGCCAAACTATGCAACTGCTAAATCCAAGTATTTGGCAGAGTGCAAAAACTCGCATAAACTAAAACTACACTTTTGTCTTTACAAAGGCACCATCATTCTTGCTCAGTGCACTGTGGTACATTTTATCTTCTAGCAATTCTGCCAGGTACACACCCTCTTCAAAAGCAAGAAATAAGATCACCCCTAAGGCCAAAAAAATAGAAAATTAAATTAGTATGTAAACTTAGGCAAAGTTGCTAGAAATACTACTGAATAAAGAAAGAAAAAAATAGTATGTTATGTAACAAAATGCAAATCTGCATCATCAAACAAAATACAAATTAAAAAAACTGCAAAGCAGCATTTTCATCGTACTTTTCTCTATATATTTATACAACATAAACTTTCTTCTCTGAAAATTATCCATCTGCCCAACAAGTTCATAACAGAATGACTTCTTCTTTGAAAACACAATCACTTAAAACTGTATGACGTTCTGCTCTGTTTCATTAATATTTGGAAGCCTTATAAAAAGGCAGCTTAACACCTATAACTGACAGAAGGAATGAATAAGAGAATACAGACAGCTGGCAGAGATATCACCAAAATTTCACACAAAGCACATGCCAGGTTATGATTATCCTTTATATTCCCCATAAGGCCTGAAGGCTACAGCTATACTAAAGCTTTTATGCTTTACCAACACCTCACAGTGGACAGAAGATGCTGCACCCATGAGACACCACCAGGGCACCTACAGAATGGTTTTCACAAAATTGGATATGTACGTGGAACATTTAGAAAATGATCAGCAAAGGCAATTCCGTTACCCTAATTACTAACAAAGTTCTAGGAAGCCATGTATCATGCTCATTCCCAACTCAGCCAATCAGGATGGTCATACATTTGTTAAAATACATAGCAATCAATTGCATATTTACTTGCAAAAATCAGTGAAAATGTAACAGTAGTGTAAGACAGATGCTCCCATCAGTTCTTCAGCTAAGAGGGCTGTGAGCTTTGTATCATGTCTCTGTTTGAAGAGGATCAGAAAAATAAACAGTAATTTTGGTGGAGACATGAAGCCAGGACTCCTCAAATACAACCTCAGTATTTCCCCTCACATTCTCCTGTTCAACACAGTTACATGTATCACTAATGGTCAGCAGCTGGGCACATCTGCTCTCTAATGAAAAAGCCACTTTTCCCCTTTGCATCCACAAGAAACTAATCTCTACATTCAGTCTTAGATATTGGTGTGGTATATTACACTAGCCCAACTCCCTTTCCTGCAGGGGGATGCCAGATACACCATGAGCATGCAGGAATAGTGACCAAAGAAGAGAAAGGCATCAGCCAACACCTGGACTGTAACATAACTCAGCTCTGGAAATGCTGTTCTTGACATCCTCTGGGGTACTTAATACAGGTGGATGTATTTCAGGTTGATACAGTGACTTAATATATATGAAAAACATCCAGACAACAGAGGTCACAAAATGACTTCTTGATTGAAAACATTAACTACAATTCTCATGCTATGATAAAAAATTCTCCTGAACTTTAAAGTGCAGTGCTTCAAAAATGATGGCTCTCAAGCGAGTAAAGCACCAGCATTCAGTCTATCTGAAGTCAGCGCAACTACAGAAGGTACAATTTCATCTTGTTTGAGCAAAAAAAGGAAAATAAGCCAATGGGAAATATTTTCTCCCTTAAGAAAAACATTTGGGTGGGATTTTTTTTTGTTGTTGTTGTTGTTTTTTGTTGGTTTTTCTTTTCTAAGATAAAGCTCATTGTAGAATTGCCTATCAATAGTGACTTTTACTCAATTAATTTGGGTAGGAAAATTAATGGTTGCTACAATTAGAAATAAGGTAACTCCTCAGTATTTGAAATTGATCAATCTGATCAATTCATTATGCTAACTGCTAACACTATACAACACAACATTTTTCTCCTCTACAAAAACTTTGTTACTGCATGGTTATAACTCATAAAGATTTGGTGACTTCATAGAAGAATCTATTTAGCTAGTCACTATAAGTGACTAGTCACTATAAAAAAAGAGGTAGAAATGGAACAACTGTCCACTTAATTCCCTCAAACCACTTAATAAGAATATAAGAATAGCATCTTGGTGACTGGCTCTCCTTCAGGCTGGTAGACTACATCTGCAAATTTCTGAGTTAGAAACTGGGAAGGAATGTGATCTCATTTCCCTTCTTTTGAAGGATCTGATCTTTCCCTATCCTTAAACACATTCAAAACAGGTGCTATTTTACCCCTCCTCAACTGCCCCGTGCCCAAACACCCTCTCACTGGTTTGGATAGGGTAGAGATCAGAAAACACAGAAGGTTTTGAGAATGGTGGAGGAAGGAACACTCTGAGTTTGAGATAAAGAAGGGGAAAGATTAAGTGAAAAACCTTTCTTCTTTAAGAATAAGAAAAAGCAGGGGACAAGGTGGAATATCCCTGGTTTTTGCAGTCTGGAGAGTTCATTAGTATTAAGTACTGTATGACATAAATGCAATTGTTTGTAAGATACTGAGATTCACTGGATTTGGGTAATACTGGTAGAATGTTTGTTTTTACCTTCTGGCGGCCTGTTGGATGTTGCCACAACGACAACCCCATTTTGGAAGAGATTTTCAAAAAGCTGCTTCAGAATCATGGCATCAGCAATGTCAGTGACCTGAGAAGACAACAGATTTGTTTTATCTTGCTTTCAGCTTCTGCTGCAATAGATCTGCAAGTGGCTTTGTAGCTAGGAAAATGCTTGTTAGTGAAAGCCATGGAAAAAGATTCTAATTATTGCTTGGTGAGAAAAAAATAAAAGGGATAATTAATAAGCAGTGAATGTACCATAGTCTTTCAAAACTTGCCCACTCTTTATTGCGGAACTCCACCATTTCTTTACCAATTGCTAAATTATTCCGTGTTAACTTCTATTATAAAACTACAGGTGGGAGATGCAGAAAACAGACCTAAACATTTAAGAGCCTACTTAATTAGGAACAACATAAAAAAAAAAACCCAGAAGATAAAAAGAGATACACACCGGCTGTTTTACATTTCTATTACCTTTGAGGCAAAGGTTTGCAGAGGTGAATTTAAAATGGTCATGAGACTTCGGAAATAAAGACAAGTAGCCAACTATACATAATCAGCTGCTGTTGAAAATAGAATGATATGACATAGATACTATTGTGTGATTGTTGCAAAAAACAATTCAACAGATGGCCCATCACAAAAATAAGCAATTTCATTGTTCTTTTTAAGTGCCTTCTATTACTGTCCATGAATAATCAAAAGGCAGGCAGTCACTTCCAGCACAGTCAGCCTCTTCTAACCTTCAGGCACAAAACACGAATGAAAAATAAAAATGGGTAGGACAAGTGATACTGGGGAGGGGTAAGGAAGAAAAAATGACTACAAGATAAGCCATTAAGTAAAATTTCTTTAAGTACCTTAATTTTAAAAATTTAACAAACTTGCTTTATAGTAACAAGAAATAAAAGGATACAGGAACAATGCTGTAAAAAAAATATAAAGTTTTTCTGAAAAAACAGCAATTCATATTTTACAGGAGTTCACCATATGTTAATACATAAACCACCTTTATGATCATTACACTTGATTTTCCTGAAGTCCCTGTGGTTATTAAAAAGACACTTGTTGCATTTTGGCTTGCCAAAATAGACCCCAGTTCTGAGGAAATAAACCAGCGGTGGCATGCTGAGAATTATACACTCCTATTACACAAGAGATTGACAGATTGCTGTGCTTTCACCACCTTAGATGTGTATGCTGTGATGGCAAAACATGTGAAGAAAGATTTTACCCAGCGTAATGTTTTCTTCTACTCCACACCCCTCCATCCCCCATAATTCTCCCACTCCTAAATGACTTTTCTGGGCAGAAAAAAAAGAAAAAAAGATAATTCTACACTAGAGACTTAGGCAAAAGACTTATGTTAAATTTCTGGCAGCTGGTTTTGAAGCAATAATTGTTATTCTTAATGAACAATATATAAACACTAGTTTCCTTCTTCCAAAGATTTTTTCCATTCTGTTCTATGAATGCCTTAATAGGGATTTTTTTCTCCCTTTTTAAAAAACTAACTTTTACACAGTCTGTAACACATGGCTTGGATTTGCATATCTCTGCTCCCTAAATCTGAAAAGATCTGAAATTTAAAAAAATCGTCATTCACTATCGTACCATATGTTTAATACACTTGCTTATGTTTCAGTTATCAATAATTTATTTCTTCTGGATACTAAAATTTAGGAACTTGTCCCATTCCTGAAAAAAGAAGACACACAAGGAATCACTCTAGATGTGCATCCTAGGGCTAACTGAATTTCTTGTACCACAAAGCACACCTAAAAGCCAAGTTTTAAAATTCTGTAATAGGTATAATTTTGTAACAAACCTTTTTGTTTAATAGTACTACAAAGCATGCTATCTTTAGCAAACAGGGAATGAAAGAGTATTAATGCTCACATAAAACAAAACAATAACATTCTCTTATTAATCAGAATTGTTATTTGATACAGAATTCTGAGCTCCATTACAAAAATAAGGAAAAGAAAAACACAAAACAAAACAGTAACACAAAAAAAACCCCCAAAACCCCTCTTTTTATCTAATGCAACTTAGGAAGGACAATAAATTTCAACACTGTAAAGCAGGTAGAAGACAGTAACTAAAGGATTGTAAGTTCTCATGTTTTTACTGTATCCAGCATTTACTGCAACTGATAATAAAAGCAAAGTCTACAAATTACCAATAAGGAGGGCCTGCTAGGGGAGAGAATGGAGAAATTTCATTAGCATTTAAGAGAAAAAAAAAAGGAAAAAAAGAGAAGACACTAGACTAATAGTTAATTTACATGTGTAAGTGCCTGAGACTCAGTCAGCCACTGATTGGTACAGTTCCACGTAATGAATGACAAACATAAGCATGTATTATCAGCAATTAGTATTAGCACAAAAATAAGAGCCTAATTTTTATTAGAGGCTTTTAATAGAATGCAGGTTAGTAAAAACTCTCTAAACTGTTCACTTTTGTAGTCCAAATACTACCATTGGTAGCTTAAGGCTAATACTGCATGGTCACTCAGCTTCCCAAGAAGGAGGGACTCTGGTTTCTTTATCAATACTAACATAGGTTACAGTCCCCTGCCAAAATTAGAGCTTCTAATTACCTGTGTATAGTTATTAGGTCACTGCTAGCCACTCTGTGTTCTGAAATATCATAATTATAAATGGCTTAATTTTAGGGGTTTTGTTCAAAATGAAGACATTTTTAGAATGGCTTAAGACGTTTGTGATTAAAAGAATATTTTAATATTTCCAGTTAACTGTATGACAAAGATCAGGAAGACATGATGCCTTAATAACCTGACAGCCTGAGCTCAGGAGTGCTGACAAAATCCTGCTTCAAAATGGACAAACACAGAAGCATAGTGCCATCACTGAGGTCCTGGCCATCACACAGTATTTGCACAAAGAAACATTAAAACATAATTCTCTTTTTTAATACAACAATACTTTGGAACACAGAAAATTACTTTTAAAAGAAGTAGTGAAATATTTTTCTAGATCAATTAGTCAATTCTCCACTTGCTTAATAATTCTCTGGGCTTTGCAGGAAGATTCACTTTGGAATACTTCTGTTTTGCTTTAGCCCATTGTCAATGAGGAAAATGCAACCTCAGCAATGCTTTTGTCTCCTGAAGTTCTGCATTTGGTTTCCTCTGCAAAAGGAGCATTAGCAATATGTTTTGCTGTCCCTGTTTAAAATACCACACGTTCATTTCTGTTTTAAGATAAGTAAATTACTAATTTCAACTCATTCTCCTTTTCTTGTTCAGCAGGCATCTGAAAGCAACTTGAAGTGTTTAAAGGAAATCCCAATAGTTTTCTGATGTTGTCTCTGCACACAATTATTTTGCCAAAACAACCTCACTTTTCATCTGTCAAAACAGAGAGTTGCTTTGTCCACAAGTCAGAGCAGTGTACGTTCTTAGCCTGCAACTCTTTCCAGTTCCAGTTCAATCTAGCAATTCTTTAAATATGGGTAAATCAGACTGCAGGGAAATAAAGCCATGATCTCCACTATAGAAATGAGCTGCAAACATCCCAAATTAAATATGGCTCCTTATTATTAATATTAATTGTATCACCATGTGAACTCCTCTTCCAGTCACTGCACTACTTTATGATTATTTCAGCAGAGGGTTTCTTATCCAAAATTCAGTGACTTCTGCAAAATTTCAGAAAGCTAGAACTCCTTTTAAATAGGCAACACCTGTGTAGAGTTCCACATTACAGAAAATCAGTCAAGAAATCCAGCCATTCAGAAATCCGTGAATTTGGAAAATTAATATACCCAAACAGAGTAGATTTTAAAAATTCACTTAACAATGCAAAGTCTTGGAAACATATTTTAAAGTATAGTTCTTGTATTAATTTCCCAACTCCAACAGTTCAACAGAACAGGTGATTTTTACAACTGAAAGTCATTGGTGTACCTCAAGCAAGTCAGCAGGGGGAGCAGGTAATCAGCTTGGGAAGAAAAAATACCATTGTCTCTCCCTTCAAAATGTGGAAACATGACAGACAGTCTGTAAACACTGCAATACTGCAACATGAAAGCAGTGAGCATTTATACAGAAAAACAGGTATTTACACTGATACATGGTACAGCTATTTTCTACCATTTGAGCATTTAATGCTGTGATAGTTAACACTTCCCTCTCCAAACCTTCCCATTTCTTCACAGTGTAAGTACAATTGTCTCTGTATTTAGACTTTACACTCAGGTTTTGGAAGCCCAGCATGATCGTATTCACTGACAGCACAAATTAAATGATCAAACAGCAGCAATTGCAATGACCCTACACATTCTGAAACCACGGGTCAAAGGACCACCCCTGCTTGAAAAATGCAAGAGAAACTTAAAACAAAAACAACTGTTACTTGACCAAAATTCCTTTCATGGGAGCTGACCATGAACAGTTATTTCCTCAAGTGTGCAGACAGATTTGCAAAATAAAAGCTGAGAGATATAAACTGCTCCAACCACTTCAGAAATGTATTAATTTAACACCAAAACAGACAATTAACAGTTAATAGATTATTTTACTGTTGGTGATTGAGAACTAATATAGATCTACTGTTCTGCATTTTCTCTCAGAATTGAAAAAAAAATCTCAGCTGGTTAAAGCTGCCAAATATCTCTAGTTTTTTTATTAAACATTGTTATAAATAATTATACATTTAAGTTTGTGACATGCTCTTAATATTCACAAACTATGTAAAACAGATGAAATAATCAAGTTAGCTTAGGCAAAGATCATTTTACGTACTTATTTTTAATTTTCACATTAAATTCAATAGAAGTTTCTTAAAATCCTTAATCACATTTAGAGTGTTTGTTACATTATATGAACTACAAAGGCAAAGATCAGTAGCAAGCAAGCATCAGGTGGCGCTGTACAGACTCAGTACAGGATGATGGCCCCTGCAATTCATAAGCCTCCAGATAAACTCTAATACCTCCTTGAATGATCAGTGACCGGTAAACAAAAGCACTGTAAGGGGACTCACACTGCTAACCTGCTTCTTGTCTGTTGTGGGGAAAAAAACCCTACTATACTAGCAGTAACAAGTATCATATTTTAAGATCAAAAGTAATTTTATGAAGCTTCCCTTGAAGTGAAACTTCATAAAATTACTTCTGAGCTTAAAAAGAAGTGTGAAGGAGTAATTTATGACCTCTTACCTGAAACTCATCAAAACACAGGAGTGCAGCCTCTTTGCTTATTTCCTCTGCCACAGGTGCAATTGGGTCATATGATTTGGCCATAAATCCTGCTTTCCTCTTTGGTAAGTTCTGCTTAAGGCGATGTATTCCTTGGATAATAAAACAGAAAAGAACAAATATTTCTTATTTTTTTTCTAAGACAGGAAGAACAAAATTATTTAGCTAACAAATAAAAAATAAACTGGTCCAGTAAAAATAAGAAAACTTCAAACTTAACCCAGTTTCAAGAGAGTAAAACACTTTTCAACCACATCCACACAACAGTTGAAAGCTCACAGATTTTGTGATTCTTACTTTGTTTAGAAAGATGTAAAACGAATGTTAAAAACATCTTGAATGCTATTCACCTATACTTTATATTCTATAAACTGATACAAATTGCTGTTTTATCTTGCTCTGAAGACATTCTTAGAATGCAATTGGCTAAAAGAAGGCAGACGTAGCAGCACAGTTACACTTCAATATGTGAAGGCGATGTTAATGGCACAAAGTAAAATTATTAAATCCATATTTTACTGTCTCATGGATTGTATTGCATCTGACTATAAACGAAGATTCAAAAAAAAAAGATCCTGCAGAAGGAAGCTACATTTGTTAAGATTAAGCACAAATGACAAGAAATGGAAACAGAAAATCTCAAGTGACCCAGCAATGAAGAAAAGCGGGCACTAAAAAGTGGCTCAAGTCATCTACACCAGTGAAAGCTTCCCAAGAAAAACCCAGCTGTCACAACACTTGTAAAATGCAGCAATATTTAACAATTTGACAGTATTATAAGGTCACAGAATTTAGAAACAGAAGCAAATTTTAAAATATCTAGAACAGCATTCCTGTAAAAACAAAGCGCCTTATTCAGCTGATCAGAAAATTTTCTGAAACTTAAGATGCACTTTTTTCTATTACTTTTTTCCTCTAAATTGCTGACAGTTTTACTAAGTTAGTCATCCAGAATAGTTCCCATTCCCCTTGGCATTTATAGCTGATTTAGTTACTGCTTATTCAAAATACAGATTGAGTTTAACCTTCATATTTTCAGTTTTAGCAATCGCCTTCTTCAATTTCAGGTAAGCTAATTGGTACCTGGAAAACATTTAGTTAAGGATTTTATTCTAACCAATACACTTGAGCTATATATACAATGAGGTATGTATATTTTTTTTTCAGAAAAGACACTTGAGAAATAATATGCAATTAATATCTATGCTGGCATGATAAACAATGCTAAAATGCTTTAACTTTTCTCCTATTTTTTAAATTTTTCTTTATGCTTAAATATTTAAATAAAATTACAGTGATTAATATGAATATGAGACAGACTTTTTAATAGATACTGTAATTTACAAAATTCTTGTCAATACCTGTGTCTGCACTTACTCTGGTGTACATCCAACATGAAGCCATGAAAATGGACTCTCTTTTTCCTTTCTACTTCTAAGTGAGAATAGAACATGTCCATCACCATTGTCTTTCCTGTGCCTTCAAATAAGAACAATAAAAACCACTCAACAGATAGTTAATTTAAGAGAAGTATGTACTGATTACAGTAATGACTGTTATTTTGTCCCAAATGAAACAACCATTTTCCACAGAGTAAGTACAAGACCAGACTATTGTGAGGAACAGTTATGTTTTCTGTTCAAAAACTTAGAACAACTACATTTTTATTTTTCTGTTTCAAAATACAGAGATGGCCCAAAAGTTGCACAAATTACTTGCCATACATCCATAAGACATGTTAGTATTTCATTTGGAAAGCACATATGTTTTCATGCTGCACTGTTGCAATTAGAATACATGAATTCTCTCCCACAATTACTTCCCAAATTCTTAAATTGCATTCTTAAATTCTAGTGAATGGGTAATGCTGGAAACCACTACATATAGTAATGTGGTCCAATCAGCTTCCAGCATTGTGAACATGTACACTAGATCCAGAGTGTAATTATATTAAATAACATCATAATGTTACATCCTGTAACATTAAACCAATGTTTAATTCATTAATCCAATAGTTACATAAACACAAAGCTTTTAAACACTTCAGAATTTGAATAGACATGAATTTTGAAAAAAATCCATTGGATGCAAACAAAACTTACCAACATCTCCATAGACATAAAGACCTTTTGGGGGTTTGGTTTTGGCAAAGACCTGCGAGTCAAGAGAAAAAAAGTAAATATAGATATGGGATAAAACAAAAGCAAGCACATGGCTGTGATAAAGTAAGAAAGTAGCTACACTTAACCACAACAGTAGCACTAGGTAGCAAAGTGTAACCTCGACTAAATCATTAGCTGGGGATTCATAGAGTAATGTTATCATCGCGAAAATTCTGTATAAGAAGCAAAACACACATGCAGGGCTTGGGTTTTGGGGTTTTTTTTAGATCATTGTGAAATATTCCCATCCCTAGCACATGTGCCTTTTTATCAGAACACACGAAATGATTCAATGTTTCTAAATCCACTATCATCAAAACAAATCCTTTCCCTCATTAAGCCATTGGATCAAACAGTCCTAGGAAAAAAGGATATAAAGTTACACAATATTGTACTATTAATAGATATATGCATTAAATACCTTTTATAGCAGATCTGCTAAAGAGATACACTATTAGGACTTACAGAAAATCAGTACTGCAAAGCCCATGAACATTGTACATCCTATTTCTCTCATCTCTGGTTTAAACATGATTAAAAACAATGGAGTCACAGTAAAAATATGTATCTACGTACACATGCATGTGTCTGTATATGTATAAATATATACACATATAAAAAATATACTTTCAAAGTATGCCTTTTATTAACCATTTTTTCAAATGAGTTACTTCCATCAGGAACGAACACTGCTTAAAAATTTCAAATTTCTTAATATTATTATATATTATGACACTTGATATCTATTTTACTGAAGTATATATTTTATGGAAAAACTTCCAGAACTGCTAAGATGTTCAATTTGAAATAGTCCTCTTTCCCTTTCCCCCAGTAATCCACACAGCCATTTCCAAGTATAATTCAATAAAGAAACAGTTTCTAAAAAACTGGAGAGCTTCACAAAATTCAATCAAATCCATGAAACTGAACTGACATCCACAAAAAACACTGCAGAAGAATATTCACTTATTTTAAAGTGCTCCACTTTCAGAGCTCTATGGGCTGAGCCCACATAGAGGAAAATTAAAATTGCAACCCTGTGGTCTCATTTGGAGCTGGGTAATTGCTAAACAACTTGAATCTAAAGCACTTTTTCAAAATACAGTGCAATGGTAAAGAAATGGAGGAGTTGGTACAAAACACTAATTAAATATGAAAGAAAATGAATGACCAAAAAGTAGAAGGGTAATATCTCAGGTCTATAGTACCAGCTCACTCAAAAAATATGCAAGCATGGCTCTTACACAAGAGCCCCTTTTAGATTTAATTCAGATCTCTATTAATAGGGTAATCAAAAATTTGTATCATCAATCTGTGGCTGGAAAGGGTTTCAGATGTTTGGAAACTATTCCATTAATTGACAAGGCTGTAACTATTTGCTAGTGCTTTGAAAGCATTGTAAGATAATTTAATTGTTGAATATTTTTCAGTGTGTACTTTTTAAGAGCTTGTGCTCAATGAAACTACTGATGCTCAAAGTTACAAGAGAAAAGGAGAAACAGACAAAAATCCAAATGAGATATTTTCAAAATAATTTCTTTTGGTTTAGTTTTAGATAACCAACAATCATTCTGACACTATAAAAGACTATCACATTTAATTTATTATACAGGAAGGCTGTATTAATGTGATCTGCAGTCACAAGAAGTGACACAAAGCTAGAAAAACAAATGAATGTGTAGAGTACATCTATACCTCTTTTTGCAAAGGTTATACAACCAGAACAAAAAATAATGCCTACATTTTTATACCCGTACTTTCATTCTAAATTTAATTTTTAAATTTAATTTTTACATTTTTAATTTTTACATTTAATAATTACATTTAACTATCTTAATATTTGTCTTTTTAGGCATACTTATTTCCAGATAACTAACATGTTGCAGAAAAAGGAACTTTTTTTTTTTTTTTTTTTATTAAAGGAAATAAATATAACAGCTTGGGTTCCATAAAAGTTGATTTAAAAAATGTAATTAGTTTCCCTTAGAAGACAGCAATTTTTGAACAATATCTGATTGCTAAAAATTATGGACACTGTGGCAGATCCAAACAGATTTGCTGAAGCTGATCACCTCTAAAAACAAATCAAATGTCAGAAAATGTCTTGTCCTCTTTCAGCAATTAAAGAAATTTTAGGAAATATTTTACATATACTTCTAAACATCACACTATTGACAGCTTTAGGATAATGACTTCCTCACTCCTGTCAGACATTGTATAACTCTAAGAATTTGTTTCTATATTCTTTGGTTGTTTTGGTTTGGTTTTTTTTCTTAACATATATTTTATTTTTTCTTAATATACATTTTATTTCAAAAAAGTAAAACTTTATCAGTAGATTTTTTTTAATACTGAAAACTCAGACATCCTTCCAGTCTCAAGCTATTTTGCAGGATCACAAAATGGATTTTTTTTTTCTTAAAATTATTCTAATGCATCTTCTGAATTCTGGAACTTGTCTAAGAAAAAGGGAAACTTCCACTAGGATTTCTAATAAAATCCCATCAACACTCTTGATTCAATTTAAATCACAGCAAGCAGTCAATCAATGTGTGGGGACAATGAAAGCAGAAGACTGATCTTGGTCCCATGTAAACACACTCTGCAAGAAGGGAGGAGATCTAATGTAGAAGATCCTCCAGTCACCCTAAAATAAGGACAGTCTACTTTATTTCAGGCATGAAAGGCAGAAAAGTAGGAAATGTAGGAAGACAAACTAAATTAATTATTTCTCCTTGCTCATTTCCATATTATCCTGAGGTACATTTGGGGTCTTAGGATAACAATATTAAATTTGGTGACAATGTTTTCTCTGGCAATAATGGTAAGATTTAAGGATCTTAAAGATAGTATTTAAAAGGTACTAACCCAAAGATACTAAGTCATACACAAAATTTGAGTTTGAAGGAGAGAATATCTTTAGTAACATGCAACATCTTCCCATGCTCAGACACCAGAAGCAAGCAACTCATTTCTTAGGAGTATTTACATCCTGATTGGAAAAACTTTTAAGTGCAAATGCATGTCAGTACTAAGACGGTTAATTAAAATATGCAAAATTCACGAGAGAAGTCTCCCAACAGCGGATTTTATTTTAGACGCTAACAAAACTGCTTCTTTCTCCCATTCTTTCAGGCCTCCTTTTTGGCTGCTGTTGTAACTGAAGATATTTTCAAGGTCTTGAATGGTGTTTACTATTGTTCATAGCTCTTTTCAAAACATGACCTCACTTATAATTGAGCTTATTTCAAGTCATTAGTACAGCAACTCAACAACTCTTAAGATGTCCCAATTGGTATTATTTTGAAAAGCTGGAGATCCGAAATGTCTATGCAAACTCTTACGGCCTTGAACTTCTATTCAGAGGATCTCAAAATATCTCAACACATAAGGCCATGCTTTCACCAAGTTGAAGATCGAAGTCCTTGTTCAAATTTGAGGAGTAATTTTGAAAAACAGAAGCCTGCTTGGTTGGCAGCAAGACTAATTGTTTTTCCCCCTGAGATTCATTCTAAGCTGATGCCCCAAAAAACCTACATCATAACAAAACAGAGTTCTATTACCATGAAGAGAGGACTGCTGTCTGCTGCATCTGTGTGTCCCAGACTACTCTTTTCAGAAAGGTTTGGCCTGTGAGGTAACACAAGTGCTCTAGTTTAAAAAAACTGAAAGGCCTCTATTGTATCTGCTATAAATATTTGCTCCCTAATCCTACTTTTACTATATTTTGGAGAATAAAACTATTTAGAGAAAAAGTGACAAAATAAGAACAAAGCTAAAACCAAGTCAGATCATTCTTGTAAAGGTTCAGAAGTCCAAGAAGTTTCTATTTCTGGAATAGTTTCTGCTATTTTGGAAGAGCCTTCTGCAATTCCATCAAAGAAAAAACAGGCAACAAATGAAGGAATATCGGAATACAGAAGAGGCTGGTAGAGAGAGACTTCTCTTCTACTACCCCTTTTTCTTCACTGCAACCTCTCAACCACATTCCCTTCAACGACAGAGCCAGGAAAAATGAGCACACTTGAAATGCCAAGCACCACTATTTTTTTATTTTGAAAATAGTAGATTTTCTGCCAGTAGATTAATTTCTTCTCAATACAGGAGATTTCATACTAAAAGTGGGCTATTCAAGTTGTTAGAAACTTCCTGAAAAAGCAAGAAGTCAACCTACAAAATACTAAGTATAACTGAAAAAGTATTTTATTTTTTCAAAAGATATCCTTAATTAATTTAAAATACATCAATTTGTTTCATTTACATCTATTAAAACTCACTGAGTACAAAACAGAAAGGAAATCAAATGGTTTTATCACAAAGACATGACATTATTCAAAGTTACAAAGTAACTGGCTTCCATGAGAGGAGAATGACAATGAGCTGTTCACAAACACAGGATTTACCTGTACCATTCACAGTCCCTGGAGAAACCTTCTACTGGTCATACAAACAAATTCCACCCATAAACCTGCACAAATCCTATTCAACTCAGGCCAACTCCAGACAGTAGTACTCAGCACCAGCTCTTCTTGGCATCAAAAACCTTAGCTCTAACTGAACCAAGTCTGCAGCAGCATCACTACACTGAAAGTCTATAATAGAAAACAAAGTATTTTGCTTACTTTTGCTTATTTTTGAAGAAACTCCTCAACAGATGCAAACATATGATAAGCATATGATTTTACCAGCTACCTAGTCACATTTGTGACTTATTCTGGTGAAACCTTCATTAAGATGTTGATTACAACTTTGCTGAAGCAAAACCTGGCCTGCACTAGAATTTAAACTATCATCTGTTTGGCTTCATTTTATCTCATATGGAGCTCTGTTTGAACTGGCAAATTGCTTCCTCAAAGATAGCAGAAGAGGAACAAAGCTGTTGTGATTTCTTCTCCCTGAGTCATGATTTAATTACACAAGCTAGCAGACTTTGACAGATTTATGCAAAAGTCACTGCTCTCCTCCTTTTCTGGGGTTTTGATGTACAGCATGGCACTGTAGTGCTTAACCTGGTTACCAATCTTAAGATTTCCACAGAAATACCAAACTCTAGAAGAAAAACTTCAAACTGCAACAACACTTACCTCTGTAGCAAGTAATTCTTCAGCTACTCCTCACTGACTCATTAGTTCCATCACTGAGCCTTACAACAATTTTTTAAAAAGTTGATTGAAAATTAATGTTAAATGAAGAAATGGAATGCTTTAAAGGAAGTAGTGAAAAACACATTCTCAACTAAAATATGTCATTTAAGTAAGAAAGTGTCAGTCTGGCTTTAGTGCAATTAGCTCCATTACATAGGGACATAGCAACATCGTATTTCCTAAATAGAATAAGGCTGGTATTTGTTCTCTGCAATACAAGCTTTCTTCCCTATTCACACTTCCCAATCAAAGAATCAGTAAATAACAAACCCACATAATGCCTGATCTACAAAGCCATGACACCTGCTCTAACAACTAACAATGATTTGGGGCACTCCAGTTAACACAAGTCAGCTCTCAAAATTATTCTCCAGGGCAGTGCTTTTAGAACTTAGTATCTAAATGTCCAAAACATCTTGCCAGAAAAGATCAAAATGCTCTAGCCTACCGATTCTCAGGTTTCACAGTAAGGCCAAGGCCTTCATCATAACACTTTTTTCTAAAATCTGAAAATTAATAGAAGTCTGGTATTTATGTCTGATGCCTACATAACTTAGATCAAAGTTACAAGGTGCTTATATAGCTTGAGTTATAAGATATCTATATAACCTGATATCAACATAACCTATATTGTGACTTTTTATATATCTATATAACCTGATACCTATATAACCTGAATCAGACCTTTTTATACTTACATAGCCTGATATAAGCAACTTTTTATATAATGCAATGGCTAGTATATGGTTAACTAGTTGATTAAAGCTGAATAGACAAAAAAAAGAAGAAAAAACTTGCCAGGTGGATAGCTTCAGAGATAGGTAAGTAAAGTACTAATGAAAAATTGGCAAGTGTTAAGCCAATTAGCCACACAAAAGAGAATTTAGGCTGGTTGAGACCAGTCAGATCAAGGAACACCATACTTGCACATGCTCTGAAGACAAAGTTGAAAAGTTCGGATGCAAAGAAGATGTTGGAAGCCTTCATCAAAGACCCCCAAATTGGGGAGATGCAAGTGCAGTGCAAACAAACTATCTAATAACCATGAGATCATACTATGCAAATTAGTTCTGGCATACATTGCCATACTGCTCTTGATACCAAAGATAAGGAACAAGGATTTTGAAAAAAGGAAGTTTCTATTTTTCATTTGGTACTTGCACAAACTGAATCAGGAGATTGGTTTAGACTCAGGTGTTAGCCTGAGTCCATCAAGACAACATGAATCCACAGGCATACAACCACAGACAACATGAGTAAGTGTTTTAAAACAAATATACTGTTTTCAGGCTGTTTATAATTTTTACACTGCTTGTATGTTTTTAGCAATTTTACAAAAAAGAAATCCTTAAAGTAAAAAGGCAAGTAATGTGATGACCTGATCCAACTGCCAAAGAAGGCAAAAATATACCCCAAACCATTGTTTGTCTCAAATTTCCACATCAAAGTTAGAATCACTGCACGATTTGGATTGGCGGGGATTTCAGGGGCTCGCATGGCCAAACACCCTGTTTAAAGCTGACTTGAAAGGGACCCATGAGGATGATGGGGTCAACTGCTTCCAGAACAGAACTTCCAAAGACAAACCTATTGTCTTTAAGGAACAGTTTTGCCTTAGGACTTTGCTTTGTGTATTTGTGAGTTTTCTTCCAGAGTACCAGACTTTTACTTCATGGAATTATTTCCCATTCATGTTTCTTCTTAATAGAAAGCTCTTTCCTAGGTGCTTAGTCTGCTTCCTTCCATCAGGAGAACATTTATGGCATTTCCAGTCAAGCACATGACTAGCAAATACATGATCTCCAGCTCCACATCTGTGTTTAAGGCATTCAGTGGATGTTGCAAGCAGACCAATAGACAGATACGTGTCCCAATGCTCTGCACCCTGCTACTCTTGCCTATTTGAAACAGCTCTATGTACAGGTGTAATACTTGTTCTCTTCTCTGCTTTATCACGCCTTAAAGCTAATACCCACCACAGATAGAATCATTCACTTATTATTATTTGGTGCCTGAAGGCCAGAGGACAGCATGCCATTTAATGGCACTTGAGGCCTCTAGGCTTTGGAACCCCTTATTTCATGCTGCATCATTTAGTCTTGCCCTGCAAACAAAAGTCAGTATTTGTGCCAGGTAAGAGAACAATCTGTTAATGTCAGGTAACAAGTCTAATAGAGTAGCATATTTAGATTTATGCCCATGAGATGAGGAGTGTTGCATAATAAATACTTAAAAAGGCTGACATGGAGATTTGTTAGCAAGACTGCAAAGGACATTTATTGACCATAAACATTAAGGTTACTTCTGATGAAAAAAAAAAAAACCCAAAAGTGGTGCAAGAGAAGGAGAAAAAACAAGAGAAAAGCATTCAGTCTAGCTGGGGAAAACACTGACAGTTTCCCTCCTCCCAGGGACAAGAAGGTCACTAAGGTACAGGCAGGGAAAGTGCAGATGAGACAGCAATGTATATTTTGCCATGCTTTTTCCCCAGCACTGTACTTTCATCATCAGACTTAGTCTAACACCCCAATCTTGTTGTTTCCTCTGACCACAGCTTACAACTGTGCTGACTGGCATATATTCATCATGTGGAAATGAAGCACATTCACCAGGCATTCAACTTTTGTGCACATCTATGACTGTCCAATATTTAGCAAGGAATTAAATGTCATATTTGCTTTGCTGGGTGCTACATTTGGTTTTCTCAGATCTACAAAATAAGAGGCAAGGAAAGCTGAAGAAGGAATTCCCACACCAGTTCTAGCTGCTTCCCATGAGAATGTGCCATACCAGTGCTATCAATATTTGCAGGTGCAAGGCCACCAGAGCAGCAATCTGAGAACAACAGCATGAAAACAAGAAATGCTGAAAATACTGTCAAAGACAGTCTGGAAAACATTGTGTCAAAACCTTCAGGGAAAAGTTACAGAGATTAAACAGCAGCCTAACGGCACTATGATTGTTAAGGCAATGTGAAACAGGGATATGTCTAAACTTTTGTAAATCCTTTGAAAAGAAACTGTGATGTCCACAAAAACACAACAAGGGTGCAGATTATACCTAGGCCTTTTTTCTTTACTTCACCTGGAAAGCAGCAACATAGAGAAGAATTGTTTTTAAAAGTCATGTCTGATACATATTATAATGCTGAACTATTTGTGGAATATCCGTTTGAAGATAAAACAGCAGTATTCAGTTTATGTAATCCAAACACACGAGTATAATACCAGTGTTTGAGAATTAAAACCTTGTTTATGCCCCTCTCTCCCATAGCCAAATGAAGTTTTTGGAAAAGTAGGCAGTGGACATAACTAAAACAATATCAAATTTTCTTACAGAATTATTTCAATAATATTTAATTTGGTTACATCCAGTGACACTGGATTTTACAAACCAAAAAAAGAAAGAAGAGCGATTAAAACACAAAAAATTATCTATCTGGAAAGATGCATTTGCAAAAATAATATTCTCTTGACAGAAATTTATGCATTTCAAGCACATTCTTATGACCAAATATAAATGCAAAAATTATTTTTATCATTATAAACCTCACCTTTGAAAGAATATTTTTTGAATCAATGCTGTAGCCTTTAAGGCTCTCATGCAATTTCTGCAGGTGCTCCACAACTCTTCTTTGTTGCTCATCATTCTTCAGCTCTTCCTGCTTAATCAAAAAGTCATAATGTTCTAAAGGTCCATTGCAAACCAGTAAGGCTCTGGCGTGAGCATCTGTAGGAGTACCAGGGCCTGTCTTCTGATCTGCCTGAGCTGTGTAGGCTGTAAAAATAAAAGTAGCCAATTAACAGAGAAGTTTTTAAAAGCATCTCCTTATAAACAACACATATTCCTACAGTTAACACAAAGACATATATACATGACTTACCTATATAACCACTGGTTACCTCTTCATTTTTCATTAACTCAATTTCTAACTTTACTCTAGCAGTATGTTTTGACATTCCTTTATTTTATTAACAAGCACACATTCTAAGTCCAGCAAGAGAGTTGGTAAGATTTGGATGAGCTGTTGCAAGGGAAGTCTTGACTTCTTCTTTTTTTTATCCAAATTGGGGTAAAATAATTTAAAAATTCCAAAGTGCATTTCTTTAAATAGATAATCCTTTAGGTGAAACTTCAGAAAATACTTAAAAGTCAACAAACAAGAGACCAAACCAGGAGTTCTGTAAGGGAGTTGAAAGACTCACACACCACACTAAGCAAGGCAGCAGCTGTGAAGCCCTACAATGCCACAGCCTGATCTGCTGGCATTATCTTCTACCTAGAAGAGACAGGGACAAGCCTGGGTATGAATACTGTCAGAAACAAGACATTAAAAAAAAAATAGATAAAATTCAGAATTGCTAGACATAAAACAAGACATAACTAGAAAAGGAAAGAATGCACAAGATTACAAAGAAGACTTGCCAAATCATTAATATCAGAAACAACAGCATATACTGCAAAGCTGTTAAATATCTTCTTTGCTGCCAGTGTCATTTAACAGGTTAAGTATAATAATAAAAACATGATTTCTTAATGGGTGAAGGAAAAGCATGTTAATTGCAGTAACTCTTTTGACACATAGCATTGCCATCTATGAAGTAGGAAAGAAAACTGCAAGTGAAAGTACTTTAAAGCAGGTATAAAAGAGCTGGAAAAAGGATAGGTAATAAATAATTACTACAGTTAAACTAGGTGTATATCTGCAGTAGAGTTTCATTGAGGGTTTAGGATCTCATCTTGGTGCAAACCTGAATTTCCATCCATGCCATATATGGCAAAATTAAGTACACGGGCTGGGAATGCAAATAACAGAAAATCAGGAGAGGGCTGCAGACACTCTGGAAATCAAGTGAATTCTGACAAACTGAACAAATAATCTAATACAAATAGGATGCAATTCAACAGGAACAAAGCATGTTACTTAGAGGAAATAAGTAACTCAGGAGATGGGAAATGACCAGCTGAAGAGTACCTCTGCAGAAAAGGATCCAACAGCCTCGCTGGATCACAACGTGACAGTGAGACAATATCATAACACTATCAGAGGAAAAAAATCAACCAAAATAAAATAAACACAAGTACTCCAATACAAATACACACAGGGGAAAAAAAGCCCTGTTCTATTCAAAACTGGTATAGTCTGCCCTGGAAGACACTTTTCAATTTTCACATCATATGTTATGAGAAGTATGAACCAAATGGGAGAGTAAATGGAGATTTAAAGGACTATATTTTAAAATATGTCACAATCCACAAAGATGCCATAAAAGTGACAAAAAGAGTTTTAAGCAGGTGTAAGAAAGACAGAATATTAGAAAATGATCAAATTATATTTACTTATTGCAAGTAACAGTTTCTCCACAAAAAGGCAGTCACTGTTTATATCTGCAGCCAGTAATTGAAGCAAATTCTCTTGTTCCTGGAGGAACTGAGTTGCTGCTTTGAATTAAGAGTAATTAGCTCATCCCTATCTAAAGAGATCACATAAAGAAAGTTGAGTTCAAAGTCTGTTATTGCAAAAATGTGAGTAAAACCTGTAGAGAAGAAAAACACATAGCTGTCTCCAGATACATATAGGGTACTAAGAAAATGAAAGGAAATGGTATTTATACAGATAATAACTGTAATTAAGGTAGTGAAATAGATTAATAGTCTTCAAGCTGTAAAACTTAAGACGATGTGGGGTGAATTTTAAAAATAAGTTTGATGAAAATCTGTCAGGAACAGGTCAGCAAAACCTGACCTCCCTCTGAAGGGAAGGGGAAATGGCAAAGATCACACCATTAAAGAATGACATGGGTTGGAAGGGAGATGAACTATCATTTAGATTCAACAGGCCATGGGCAGGGACAACTTCCACTGGAACAGATTGCTCAGATAATCTCTCAAAATTTTTTCATTTTGTTTTCCACTATTCCACTCCCAAAAAGAGTCAACCTCAGTCCTGTGATCCATACCTCTGAACTATCTGTGCCTTTGCAATACATAGAAGTTGATGGTCCCAAGCACTCCAGTGTGTCCCATTATACCTATTAATTCTTGATTTCCTACTGGTTACAACAGGATCAAAGGAAAAAAAAAACAAAAACAAACTGATTTAGGGGTAAGAAAGGGTTTGTGGCTCATGACCTTCCTGGCCAGGGACAAAGCACACCAGTAGGACTGCTCAGAAGCATGGGGTTTGTCTCAGATTACATGTACTCACAGCTAACCATCCTGTGAGTAGGATGAAAATACTCTGTCATTAACACGTGACAAATGTGGAGACTATGCTCAAATGGGCACATAGGGTATCCTGGCACCAATCCCTCACTGTTCTCCTAAAATAATATTTGAACACTGGGATTTAAATATGATGAGAGTACACTAAAGTACGCTACCAGGAGACACCCAGTAACTGATTAAATGATAAACTCACACATGTAGCTGCAAAGACAAGGCAGAAGCTACCAAACAGCATGTGGGGGTTTTAGAGATAAGTCAACAGAAGGTAGCTATCCAAGTGATAAAATATTCTAAGAGGCAGAAAAACATGTGCACTTTCCATTTCTCACCTGCATTCTGTGGAACATATTGCAATTATCTATCACTCAACTATAGGAATCACCAATGATTCATTGCACTAACTGTAGTCCTACAGCCCTCTTCTCCACATTGCAAAATATGGGTTTTCATTTATTCCTTACTGTTTCATTATCTAATCTTTGTATTACAGAAATTGTAACTCAATTTTTACTAGTTCCCTTCTCAAGTCTTTAAGTGACACACAGAGAAAAAGCATCCTCTGCACCTATGTAGTGTTTTAGACACAACTATAGAAAAGCACAACATCAATTCACTGTTCACTTAGCTTTACACAGAACAGTGTAAAACTAGACATATGGTTATCCATAACCTACCTTTCCTACCTTCAGGGTGCAGGACAGTGCTTGATGTTACCCCATTACCCTGATGTTCCCTTCTCTAGATTTGACACCAATGTGCAACTTTTTTCCTAAACTCCCGTTCCAATAAGTATAATCTCACTTTATTTCATACTATATAATCAGGTCTTTTCATTTGCCTTTCTTCTTACACATATAAGGATCACTGACACAGCTTCAGTGAAGACCTACTGGTCTTCTGGTTCACTTTTTGGGGTGATACACCCCAAAAAAAGAAAGAAATTGGAGGGGAAAATCTCACCAAGGCAAATAAAACTTATTTTGAAAAATGTCAATCTGGAATTATAAAAAAATTTCTTTCAAGTGGGGGACTTGAGACATATTAGGTAAACTGACATTAATTTACTACTGCAAAGATAATTAATGCCTACATAAAAATAAAAAAGCAGCAAATTGGAAAACTGATCAGTATGTTGTTAAATTTTTCTACTGCTACTTAGAAGTGATGTCTGAGATGACACAGAAAAAGGCATGTGGGTTTAAAAGACACAGCCTATGAAAGCAACAGTCACTTTCTGATGCAAGCACTAGGATTATTCATGCAAGGAGATAAACTGACATGGAAGCTGAGTTGTGCCACACCAAAACAGATCCTGACAGCAGCCAAGAGGCTGAGAGCACAGAAGGGTAACCAAGGCATGAGGTAGAGAATTAATACCTTCCTCTTCCTTCTTTGCTGTAATGGTTAATTATTGTTTGTCTTAAAAATAAAGAATATTTCCAACCAATAGTTGTGTGAGAACTGCATCTAAACCAAACTCATGCAGGTTACAACTGCACCAAAATTAAGTACCTCAAAATCACCCAAATGCCACCTTTGCTGACAGTCATGATCAACAAGCTGGAATATCTTCTACTAAATCAGTGTTAATGCAAGGTACAAGGATCACATCTGTTTCATTACTGCTCTGTCAGCACAATCTGCCTTGAGAGCTTTTCACAAACCCTGGAATTTGTGTGGAGAGAGGAAAAAGAAAAAAAAACAACAGAAACCAACTTTTAAAAACTGTCATGTTTTCAATAATCCAATCTGAAGTTCAGAATATTAGTTTGGGTCACAGTGAATCCAAACTGCTTCAAACCTTGAGACTTTCAGTGTAAAGCTGTTAAAGCTGCCTATGAAACACAAATGCCACAACAGAGAAAGAGGACTTGGAAGTCAAAGGGCACTTCCATCAACAGGCAGATGGCAGTATGAGAGACCTTCCTAAAATCAAAGTTATCTGGTAATAGAACTGCTGCAAAATCTTTCCTTCTTAGATGACACCACAGTGAGGAGGAAGGGCAATGATATAGTCATGTAGCTCCAAAGGTTATTTTCCTGCATGAAAATATGAATAAGGGTAGCAAAAGATCAGAAAGGATTTTTTTCATGCTAGTACCTGTAAACAATAATAATGTCCTCTTGTCTCATTTTTTATTAGATATATATGCAAGTATTGCAGAATCAGCCTCAAACAGGTAAATTGCCCCATAATGTACAAGGATTTGGATAAATTAAACACATTTATTAAAGCTAAGCATATGAATAAACCTGCAGAAGAACAAAGACTTGTCAAGTAAGCTTCCTGGGAAAGAGAACATGCGCTAGGCATAAAGCTAAAAATACATTTATAGTCTAATAAACAAATGCTCCTTTCAAAATTGCACTATGATTAATGACAAAAATGTAAGAGGAGGTGATCTGAAAAAAAATTATTTACTTTCCAGTGCTTAACAGAAAGCTTAAAAAAATCAAAATTCAACCAACCATATTGGGAGGGGGGGAGCATACACACACTAAGTTGTCTGCATGAACTGAAGATTTTAGGCCAATATAATTAAAAATTCATAAAAGCCCCACACTTGCTGATATTAGCAGCTCAAACCAGAAGCAGCTTGCAGCTAAGACATAAGGACAAGGATTCACATTTTTGTCTCATATGACCTTAGATGAATAACTGGAGGCCATTCATTTGGGTAAAATATGA